GGAGGGGGAGGGGGAGGGGCTACTTTTTCACCTACTTCCTCTCTTCAGTCATTCAGAAAAGTTAGATAGTAAGAGGAAGGGAAAATCTCCTATTTCGTTGTAGGTCAGGAGATGAGAACAGAGGTGATGTTGAAAATATGTAACCATTGGAATGGCATGGGCATGGATCACGCAGAAGAGATGCTAGCCATAAGCTGGTGTGACTTCACCAGTGAGCACTGCCCCAGTGTGTTTTGGATGAGAGCCTTTTAGACACCAAGAACAGACCCAGGAGCTATGGTCTGGTTGATAGACCTTCCTCCCAGTTATCTGAGTGCCTATATTTCAGTCTTGCTCCAGCTGATACCTGAGCCTCTGGCTTGTCCCAATGATTATTTTCCTCAGTGAGTACAGAGAAGGCTTGTCATCACCACACAATCTGCTCTCCCTTTCTTCTATGATACAGGAGTAACAGGAGTTGAAATCCAGTCACTCAGCCGAGGATTCCATTTCCTATCCTCTCTTACAGTTGTGCATTGCTGTGTGACTAGGTCAGCACCTATGGGATGTGAGCCAATGTCATGACGTTAGAAGTGGGGGAAGATGTTTTCCTCTTGCCTAGTTCTGCCATCTGCTTGGCTGGAATGTGGAAATGGCAGGGAAAGTTGAGATAGCCATCTTGTCCACGGGAAGGAATCCAAATGTTGAGAACCACAGAGCAACTACGGAAGGAACTTTGTTGCCTGAAGATTGTGGAGCTATGATATGCCTCTCTACACCTAAATACCATCATTAGAGCAGCAACTGCTTAACTCTCCTTAAGTGCAGCAAGGGAACCTCAGCATATAAACTCTATACAAATTAGGACACACATACCGTACTCTCTTCGGCAAAGATGAACTTTAATGAGTGCACAAATCACCTGACAGTCTTGTTAAAATGCAGTCTGTTTCAGTGGGTCTGGGCTGAGGCCTGATATTCAGCATTTCTCACTAGCTGTGATGCCAGTGACGCTAGTTGGGCCATACCCTGAGTATCAAGGACCTAAAGCAATGAATTGAGTTTGAGACGAGCCTGGTGAATATAGCTAGATCCTGTCTCCAAAACTAAAAAAGAAAATTAGACAGGTGGCAGGGCGCACATATAGTCCCAGCTACTTGGGTGGCTGAGGCAGGAGGATGCTTGAGCCCAGGAGGCTGAGGCTGCAGTGAGCTATGATTACACCACTGCACTCCAGCCTAGTGACAGGGTGAGACCCTGCCTCAAAAAATAAAAAGATAAAAAAGCAAAACAGTGAACCTGGCTTCTAGGAGGGTCCTACTGTCACTCCACTTAGGTCTACAGATCTTCCTGGGTCCGTGAACCTGAGTGTCTTCCCCTCCTTCCCTCCACCTACCAAAGATCTGTCAAAGACGACTGTCCCTTCTGGGTGGTTTCCGGTCTCCCTTTATTGGCTTCTGCATGATACTGCGGACTCAGCATCTGTCTGGGGTCTAAGCCAGGCTCTTGGGCAAAGTTAAAGGTGTACCGGACAGTATGCAGTTGTGGAGCTGGGCAGGTAGATATCAAAGAAGTTATTCCTGGGCTACTGCCTTTCCAAAGACCTCCTTCTCAGTCCTCACCAGGCCATTGTGTTTAAACTGCAATCACGCCCTGACAATTGTCTGCTGTATCTCCCCTAACACCTTCACCTTAGCGAGCTTGTAAACATCCAACATGCCATGCATTACACGCGTTAGTTTTGCTTATTTGCTGTCTCCTCCCACTGGAATTTAAGCTACCTCTGCATGGAGTGAATGAATGGCAGCCAGGTGAAGCTCAGTAAATGTAAAAACAGGATATCAGCAGGTCAGCAGGCACGTGGCCCACATTGTCAACATCAGCTGGGGGCAGGGATCAGAGATAGAACAGCATCTTTCTGCAGCCCTCAGACACCTCAAATAATACGGCAATCTTTTTTTTTTTTTTTTTAACAACTGGTAATCAATTTATTTAAATAGCTGACTTAAGCATCTGTAATGGTGACTTCCACCTCAACTCCTGGCTCAATACTGATGAAAGTAATCTGCTAAACAATCTCAGAAGGACTATGCAAGTCAATGAGTCGCCTGTGGATTCTCATCTGGAAATGATCCCATGTCTTAGAACCTTCACCACAAGGTGTTTTTCTTGTGATTCTCAAAGTCTTGGTGGGCATCCGAACGGGTCCTTTCACTTTGAGATTCTTTTCCTTTGCTCCTCTGATCAAGTCAGCACACACTTTCTCCAGGGATTTTACGTTGCGGTTCATTAGAGTGATTTGAATTCGGTGAATTGCCACCTCCAGCTCCATGGGAGTTTTTCCTCCTGTATCCTTAAAAGCCATAGCTGCTGCGCGGCTTCCTGACTGACTTGTTCCTCCCCAAGAGCGAACAGCGGTGAGTCAGGAGCAGGAGCGTGCGAACCCACAATCTGCAACAGCTACGACCGTGCCTTCCTCAGAGAGTACAGCGATCTTATGTACAAGACTAGTTCTAAAAACTCCTGTTCCAATCCTCCTACCACTTCCAGAATCCTCAGTTATGGAGAGCTCACTTACCACGGACAGACAGCCTCCTCCCGGCAACTCTGTAGGGCGGATATCATCAGCCCCATTCCATAGACGAAGAAACCGAGGCTTTGAGAATGTGGATATTTATCCAAGAAGAGTGCAGAACTAAATGCAATTCTATTTAGTGTCAAAGATATGAGGGTTTGATGTGGGAGGCCCTCGAGCTGCAGGTCAAATAACTTCGGTGTTTGGAAGGAAAGGCTGGAGAGGCTGCAGACCAGGTGATGCGCACATCTTCCTGGAATCTCCACCCCAGGGATCCCTTCTCTGATGCTTGGCCTTAGGACCCTCTTCCAAGCAACTCCTCTGGGACCCTGCCGGCTGACCTGACCTGTGTTTTGGCTGCTCTTCCTTGTGTGAAACGTATTATTCTAATGATGTCCACTCCCCTCCCCCTTCAACTCTTAGCAAGTCTGTCTTCCAGCAAGGGCAGTCTGCTGGGCTCATCAGATAGTCCCCTCTCCTTGTATCATCCCGTAGTGGGGCTCAGCCTAGAGTGTGGCTGTGACAGCAAAAGAAAAGCATAGATGAAGAGGACCCATTCCACCCCACCACTCTCCATGCTTCCCAATACATTAGGGAATACCCCTTAAGCCATAATTGCCGCTGGTATCAGTAAACATTTTAACAGGCAAAAGCATGGCCACTGCACTTCTAAGGGAAGCCGAGTCTGTAAATGAAGAGAATTCTGTTGATACCCACTTTCATCCAGTTCCACAAAAGAGCATTCATGGAGTGCCTGTCTGCTCAGGGGCTCCGCCTCTGTGGGTGTAGGGGGTGGGAGGAGGGAGTCCTGAAAGCTGAGGAAACAATTTCTGGATTCAGCTTCACTCCCTGCCCCCAAGCTGTTAGCAAATCTTGTACAGGTCCTTAAACAGAATTCCGCACCTGCGACCTGAACCTCCCGACCAGTAAGTGCTCTGCCTCCATTATTAAAGTGTCCCTGCAATTACAGTGACAGGTGGAGAGTGCCTCAGAGGCAACCTGGCTCTCCCTCTTCCTGGGAGTGACACATAATCATGCCCTGCATTTAGAGAGTGCCCTTATCTGAGGAACGCGAATGGCCTTCTTGACATAATCTCATTCATTCTTTCAACAGCCTTATGAGGCCGACCAGGGACAGGTATTCTTTGCTAACCCTGTCTGCCCCATTTCTAGAGGACAGAAGTGAGGCCCCAAGAAATTAAAGTCAAAATGAGACCATGAGCAAGTGAGTAATAAAATCTAGGTCTCCTGACCCCCATCTCAAAAGCCTCCGTTCCTCCTTTGCTGACAGCCTGTACACAAGTGGGGATGTTTGTGTTTCTACACAAGGACTTAAAGAAAAGGTTAGCTTTGTGAATCTGTGCTTCTCCGAGTAGAACAAGGTGAGCCAGCCTAAGTAGAAAGAGAATTCAGGGTTTAAAATAAGTGAGAAGCAAAGAGAAGATGGAGATCAGGCAGAAAGGGGAGGTGGGAGACCCCCAAAGCTCAGAATGGGGTCTCGGTAGATGGCAACAGCTGAAGGCATAAGTGTGTGCTTTTATAGGGCGTGGAACACCATGCACGATTTCCATGATTCATACACAAAGACTGATACCTTATTTAATCTTCAGGGTTCGTTGGTTTTTAGAATATTCAAACATAAGCAGATGGCCACGGGTTATGGTTCTGCTCACTCAGCTATGGCTGCTCAGGTGTCCAGGTTGTTGATAAATAAGGAATAGGACATGGCATTGAAAAGAACATTGAGATTGATAACAGCTAACATGTATTGATCACATGCGTAGCTACTCACCTGTTTTATCATTTTCGATCCTCCCAACAACCTTATGAGTTTGTACTGTTATCTCAGTTTATGTTAGAGAAAACTGAAGCTCAAAGAATATGGCTGATGAGCATAATAGACTCAGCCTGACAATATTCATTTAAATGCTTCTACAAGGAAAGACTGCAGATTGGTACAGCAGAAAGTTTCCTAATAGTCACTGGAATTTTTGATTTCCAAGAAATCAAGTGAAATGATTAGTAGTCAATATTGGGAAGCATACCTCACTTTAAATAATGTAGTGACAGTTTCCTATTAGAGAAGCATCAACTTGAAAACAATCACTCTAATGAAAAAGTCAAACATTTAGATAAGTTCTGTGGAGGTCTAGTATAAGTTGATTTTCCTTTAGTCTCTTGGAAAATAAGCTTTAAACCAAATGACGCAAATAGTATTTTAGAAAGAAATTTGCAGTAGCTAGACTATAAGCCTGTTGAAGTTAACAAATGTTTGTTTGATACCTCCCAGGACAGGTACTCACCTTTCCCTTGCTCTGTACCTGGAAGTTGGTACAGCTGCAAAGGCCTTCCAGGCAGGCTATTTGAGAGAGTGGGCAGACCATTAGATTAAGAGTCAGGTGGCTGGGCATGGTGGCTCATTTCTGTAATCTCAGCGCTTTGGGAGGCCAAGGTGGACAGCACTTGAGGCCAGAAGTTCAAGACCAGCCTGGCCAACATGGTGAAATCCTGTCTCTACTAAAAATACTAAAATTAGCTGGGCTTGGTGGTGCATGCCTGTAATCCCAGCTGCTTGGGAGGATGAGGCATGACACTAGCTTCAACCTTGAGGTGGATGTTACAGTGAGCCAAGATTGCACCACTGCATTCCAGCCTGGGTGACAGAGAGAGACCCTGTCTCAAAAAGAAAGAAAGAAAGAAAGAAAGAAAGAAAGAAAGAAA